GTAAGTTTCTCTTCTTCCCTCTATTTCTTCTTCTTCATTAGTGTAATTTAGTTTTGTGTTAGTTTTAGTAAACCCTAGTTAGGATTAGTGTTCAAGTTTTAATTTTTGCTTTCTTTTATGTTTTCTATTGTTGTATTTGATGCTTGTGGGGTTGTTTAGTGCTAATTTGGTTGGGTCTCCATGATACTTTAATTGTGGGGGTTGTTTTGATGACTTGGAGGACTAGAAAATATTTTTGTGGTGTAGCTTGGTGGTGGGCCATTTTTGGCCGAAAATTGGGGATTTATTGTACAATTTTGAGGCATTTTATGCCTAACCTAGGTTGTGGCGGTGTTGTATTTGGTGGATGGCGGTGTTGTAATTGGTGTATGGTGGTGTTGTATTTAACGTGAAACACTTGAGGGAGTAAGTGTGGGGTGCTGTATGCCGGAAATCGCAAGCAAATTGTGGGGCCTTTGTGGAGGTTGTTATCCTTGAACACCTTAGTAGTGGAAAATGGGCACTTTGTATGAATGAAATAAATGGGGGCAAGTGTATGGTGCCATCAGGTGGTGAAGTCTGAGTACCCATCCAACTGGCACAGGAAGGATATATTTGATGGTTCTTCTGAATTCTTTGCAGGTACTGTGGTTCCTAAAAGGCAAAGGAGATCGGCAGGCGCATCCCAACAGCCTACATATGATGAATCCAGGTTCCAATCTGAACTAGCGGAGGACGACTTTAATGCCAAAGCTACGAAGAACTTCATCCATGAGATCTCGCTTGACCGGGCAGCCCTCCGCGTAGAAAAGGCAGAGATGTATGAAGAAATTCGGAGGAGGGAAATGGAATTCTTATTTGATGACCCTGCCCCGGTAAACAAGATGCTTGTTAGGGAGTTTTATGCCAACTGCCCATTGAACTTAAGTAGGGAGGTGATTGTGCGAGGCAAGGTGGTCAGCGCCACAATTCCCATGATTCGCCAGGTGTTGCGGCTGCCTCAGTTCACTAGTGACATCGACTATTACCACGATAGGCCAGGGGTCACATGGGAGGTCATGACTGATATACTCTGCGCAGAGGAGCGACCAACCTGGATACGTGACCAAATCACCCTGAACTCCAACTCATTCACCCACTTGGCTAAGTGTTGGTTAACTGTCATCTGCAGCCGGTTCCTGCCCTCAAG